CAGCCAGGCGGGGTCGGGGAACGCCCTCTCCATCCCTCCCGGTCCGCTGAGCTGCTTCAACCCGTGAGAACACGCGCGTCGGAGGAGCCTGCGGGCCGTGGGGGAACCCGGGCAGTGGGCTCGCCCCGGCGAAGTGGGCGCTCCCTTCCCAGCCCCGGGTCCCCCGCCGCGATTCCCGGACTGGGCGGAGAAAGAGCGCGGGAACGTCCGTGCCTCGGCTCTACCCTCTGGCCCACTGTCCCTCGACCGGCAGGTGGGGCCCCGACCGCTTTCGGGTTCACACCCCCTGCTCCGTCGGTTACCTTTCCTCCCATCTCTGCCTCGCTCGCCGCCCTCCCTCCCTCTTCTGCCCTCCCTAACCCACTTCCACTCCGCTTTCACCCGCTCTGCAGCTCCCTAAACCTCTCCCTCCGACGCCCCTCCCCCACCATTGTCTGGTCGGTCCCATTGTCCAGGCCCTGTCCCCTCTGCCTCCGGTCCCTCCAATCTCCTCGCCCATTGTTCCATCCCCTAGTCTCCGGTTCCTCGCCCCAGCCCCGCTCACCCCTCACATCTCTAGTCCCCGTCCGCCTTCTCTCGCCTCGGTTGCGTCCCACGACTCGCCAGAGACCAAGATGCTGAAGGGCAAAGTCCCCTCGGGACCGGCGTTTCAGTGCTCTCTTCCGAAGAACCCCGGCACCCAAGAGCCCCATGACCTCCTCCTACGAGACCCCTCGACTCCCCAACACTGTCCCCCGCGGTACCCGAGGACCAGCATCCGCGCGCCAGTCTTGCCCGCATCTCTGCCTTGGGACTCAGGGTCTCCTCTGCGCTCCGAGAACCCTAGACGTTCCTCGGTGGATCCCGGCATCGGAGCTCCACTCCCACCCCCGACCCCCAGCATCTGGCACCCCAACTCTCTGTTCTGTTCCCTGGGTGGCGGCGCTCGGCTCCCCTCGGGGTTCCGATCCCGGGAAAGGGAGCAGGCTCCCCTCCGGCTAGCACTCACCCCGAGCAGCAGCAGCAGCAGCAGCAGCAGCAGG